TTAAAACCGGCATTTGATAAGTAAACTTCCAATACCTATACTAAGAAGAGAATCTTGCAAGATTTGGTGCCCTACATGGATCTTCTAGAAATTCATTCCTTTTATAAAAAAAAATCTCTTATTTTCGGTTTAAACAAAAAAAAAATCGGATATTCGAGATGAGATCGAATTTGGAGAGAGATAGAATCGGATGTCGGGCTTGGATCTAGATTGATAAAATGTTGGATAAACAAACAGCAAGTAGATGAAAATTACACAAACCGAAGATTATGATTTTTTCTATTTTTAGGAAATTAACATTACCTATAAACTTGCATGAAGGCTTTTGTCACTTCACGAGTTGCCTCGACGTCTAGTTGAAGCCCCTTTCTCGTCCCGCACATGCTTTCGCCATCGATCCCAAATGCATCTCCTTAATCTGCCATTTCTCCTATGATTCGCAAACACCCAAACATTTGCAATATTCATATGATATAGAAAAAACTCGAATATTCGAAATTCACGGAACGAGTTCGAGTTAATGATTCGGGTTTGGATCAAATGCTTACCATATTTCTCCTACAATGCCATATACTTAAAACTATTAAAACAATGATATAAAACTCATCTTTTTCACCGGCAAAAATAAATCAATTAATGTCACAATTCATGTTTCCCAATTATAAAATTTTAACGCATTTCTTACACTTCTCGATCTCACGGATGTGTTTTTTTTTTCACATGATAATTGTAACGTTTCAAAAAATTACAATTATGATTTGCACAATAATTTATGTTAATGTGTAAAATAACGTACGAAAACTATGTAAGAGAGTTTTGTTACAAACTCATTGGCATATAATTGTTTTACTTTTCAATAATATATATGATCAGTGTATAACATTGATTACTTTTTAAAACAACTTGTCAAAACGAGCTCTCTTTTTTTTGGATAGGTAGGGTAATGCATACAAACAAGTATATGGGTAATCTTCGGCGATATACGTCTTCCACAAATGGCGAAAAAGTCGAAACGTCGGAGCTGGAGATGACGGAGCCGAAAACGTGGGAGTTGGAGACGATGAAGTCGGGAACGTCGGAGCCGGAATATGACGGATGAGAGGACGCCGGAGCTCGGATCGAAAGGAAGAGGTGATGAGATGCATGTTTGTCGAAGGAGATAAATGGTACGAGTAAAAACTAGGGTTAGATTGGTTACTTTTAGAAAATTGATTTGGGTTAAACCGTGTTCAATTAGATCGGTTTGAGAATAATTTAACTTCGTCGCAGCTATATGTAGATGATTAAACGGAAGATTAACACCGTTTTAGTGCGGGTATTAGTTTGGAAGAATTTTGTAAATTAGAGATTTTATTTGTCAAATTTTTAATTGGGAAATTTACGTGGCAGATTTTAAGGAATTAGGGAATTTTTCTGGAATTAACCCTATTTGAAAATATCGATTTCTTCATATAAAACTCGTCTTTTTTCACACGTCCTCTTATACGATTTAAAATAATAGTAAAAACACCTTTTAGTTGTTTTAATTTTTTTTATAAAATAGAGTTTTGGAAAATATTCGTTGAAATTAAAACGGAAAGAGAATATTTTTTTTATGTATTACCTATTGGCTAATACGTTAGTGGGCGCTCAGACGTGCAACTTATAAGTTTTATTTTATTTTATTTTATAACGATGGCAACTTATAAATTTTGTCTCTTGCAATGTGTTATATGCACATCCCACAATTCTGACTTTTGTGTATTTTGTCCGAAGATATCTGGATGAATAGAGTGAGTGGTCAAAACTAAGAGATAATTATATAATATAGTCAAATATATATATATATATATATATATATATTATAGTATAATTGGGATCCTGTTTTGCATCCACCAAACTTGTAGGCTGAGAATGTGGACTGGGACCCAAGTGGAGCTCATTCTTTTTTATTTCGCAATATATATATATATATATAGTATACTCTTTTTATATATATATATATATATATATATATATATTAAAATTCATTTAATAATATATATATATATATATATATTAAAATTCATTCATTATGTGCAAACAAACACTAAAAACAAAGAGAAGAGCAAGGTGTTGGATCTCAAAGTGGGAATTGGAGGGTGAAGTTACTAACACTAACAATGATGGTGGATTATAATGATGATAAGGACGCCAAAAAAAAAAAAAAAAAAAAAAGACAAATTGAAAAAGAGTACTTGCTTGCTGCTTCCAATCAAAGTTTGTGAAAGCCCAAAATGATAATAATTGGACACTTTTTTATTTCTGCGCCATATAAAAAAAAAAGATGAAGGAGAGGGCCATAGAGATATGATTATGATTAGGTCACTAATTAATCATAATTATATTTAATCTAAAGATAAATATTAAAAAAAAAAGAAAGAAAAAGAAAAATGTGACCTCCTATCTAACCCACTCAGATTTAATCCATGAACGAATGAGACATAAAAAGATATTAGTGCATGAATGATCGATATTCTTTTTAACATATATATCAAAGTGCTAGAAAATTTAGAAATGATTTAGGAGAGGTCATTATTTCTAAAAAGTAAAATTTCCACCGATTCTGGTTTTTTATTTATTCCATAAAAATAACAAAAATATTCTACACTATTTTTAATAAACGATAATAATCTATATTATCTTATAGTTTTAGTTAGTTATATCTGTTTTTTTTATAGAATTCAAACCGTCGTAACGTATTTCCTCCTAAGTAGAATTACATCCTTTTGTATAATATCTAAGTGATAATTATAATGGTGGTCTCTTATATCCAATTAGATTTCGATTTTTTTTATTTAAATTCCATAACATTCAAAATATTTTTTTTGTAATTTATTGAGGTTATTGTAAATTTCCCAAAAAAAAAAACTTGAATTTGTCATAAGATATACAAACAAGATCAAAACACTTACATTAATTGTGTGAACACAATAAAGCAATTTATATGGAGATACTGATTTTTTCCTTGTGCTTAAAAAAAAATTTGAATACTTATAAATGGTATAAAGTTTTTTTTTATATATAAATTTAGTCTGCGGAATAAATTCATTATATTGGTATAGGTTCGAGATCTTGTTATTATTTTATTAGAATATATCAAGTTAGTTTTATATTATTGGATAAATTAATGTGCGCGTATATATATATATATATATTCAGCAGATATAGAAATGGCTTCAAGTCTACACATACGACAGCTTGTGAACACAAGAACCGACCATTGCTAGTTATCTAATAACTTAAATTCTGTATACATCACACGATAACGAGCATTACGAAAATTGCAATTCAATTTTCGTATTCACCTCATATGTCAAACGAAATCTCCAAATTTATGAAATTAAATTTTGTACTAATTATAAGCTTACACTTAATGTGTCATCTGCCCAAAATTAATTATATAATCCATATTACGTTTATGATACATTACAATCTAATAACCATTCATCTCTTTTGTGGAAATTATATATGTATATAATAAATACATGACGAAATCTGTAACATTAATAAAAAAATCTTCGTGTAATTAACTAAATGTCTACGTTTTATTTTCCTCATCTTTCTAATCGTTTATATTCACCAAATCAAGTTATAGATTTTATTGAACTTATAAGGTATAGTATGCCGTTTTAAGACATCTATCTATGTAAATGTCAACGCATATCCATACAAACAACCACACACACACACACATGCATATACATATATATATATATCAATTATATGCAAATGAATATTAGTCTAGTCCACGGTTAACTTAGACCTATTTTATCTCATATATACATATATATATATATATATGTTTTCACACTTAAATTGTTTTGTTTTACGTGTGAAATATTTTATTTATTACAATGGTGTATATATATTATATTAAATATATATATATATATATATATATATGTTTCAATACGCTGTAAGTGTAAGAAAAAAAATAGAGAAAGCCATGAACCACGCTCACGCGTGTCTCGCACTTCCGAACCACGAGCATGCTCTCTCTGTAAAGCCTGTCCAATCCATCTCTAATATATTATTTCTTTTTTAAATATTTTATTTCTGTTCATATTTTGTAAAATTTTGAGACTTTTTTTTCATATAAAAAATTGCTGTCCCTTCTATGAAATTCTGAATCATTTTCCACATGTCATGGTGTTATTATGAACCATATATTTGTGTCAGCCGATATTGAAATTTTTAATAAATTGAAAAAATTTCAAATGTATAGTATTTAATTTCAATATGATTAATTTAAATAGTACAACTGAATCTGATGCAATAACGATAACTACTCTGCTTCGTATAAGACAACGATACGAAAGCATTTCAGGAAAGCAATTAATTCTGCTAAATAATTAGGGAAATTAATTAAATGACAAATCCCAATACACACTAGACTAAACCCGAATCAGAATAAATCTCAAAAAAATTGAATACATGATTTACATTAAGTAAACAAAATCTTCCACATAAAACATTTCCCGTCTTAATATTTTTATTATATTTGACAGAGTTTCTAAAACTGCCCGTGCATGATCATCCCGGTTCAGAAACTAAACCAGAACTATCATAGTTGGGTCTGACTGTGGTTGAAAACCCATTTTTATCACAACTTTATGTCAACATTTGTATCATATGTATCTTTTAATCATAATTATAACCTCAATCCATGATTATGGCCTAATCAAGGGCTTTTATTTGGCGTGAATGTTGAAAACCGAAACCAAACCGGTTTAAACCGAACCGAGATATTCCTTATCCGGCCACGATAAAATGCCAGTACTCCATTATCCGACAGTCAAAGGAAATCGCCATACTAATGGAAACTCTCGCAGCGCGTGATTCTCACGCCCTATGATCGTTTCAGTGAATTTTTTTCAGATTCTCCAGGAAAATGTTTTTTTGTTTTTCTCTCATTTTCTAATCGAGAGAGAGATTTTTCTTTGTGCATTCGAAATCCGAAATGGTAAAAAGATAAAAATTCCAAAAAAGTCTTGTTTTCAGTCTTCATGATCATCATCACCACACAGCTTTCAGTAGCCATATATAGCTTAGATTCTCTTTTTCGTTTTCCTCTTCACTTCCCATATTTCTTTTGTTTTTCTCGCTAGAGAAAATTTTACTCCCTGAGAAATTTTGTATCTCTCTCTCTAAATCTAATATTTTACTCCTAAATCACTGCCCCCCTCTCTCTCTCTCTCTCTCTCTCTCTCTCTCTCTCTAGGAAGAAAACCCATCCATATTAAATCCAATAAATCGATTTTTCGACGCTGCTCTTGCACTACCGTGCCAAATTTCTTTCTGGGTGTTGCCAAAAACGTTGCAAGATCAGTTTTTTTTTCTGGGTCGGCGGAGACGATGACTGTGGAACAAGATTTTGAAACATGGGATCAGTTCCCGGTCGGAATGAGAGTCCTGGCCGTCGATGATGACCTGACATGTCTGCGTATTCTTGAGACCTTGCTTCATCACTGCCAATACCATGGTTCGTCTGCCTTCGTTTTGACTTCCTGTTTCTCTGTTGCTTCGATTTCATTTCGCTGTTGCTTTTCTTCGATTTGTTGATGGGTTCATGTGAAGTGGTTTCTAGATTTGGCTGGATGTCATCTGTTCACTTCTTGATCTGCTTTTGGATTTGTCTTTGTTACTGTTCTTCTTCTTACCATGAAATTAGCCACTTAATTACATGTAAAATCCTACAAAATTTAGCCTCTGACTTTTTTTTTTGGTTGTTTACGTTAGTCTGAAATCGGGGATGGGATACAGTTTAAGGGTTTGTCCGAATCTATGCATATTTGTCGAAAAGATCTCATTTTTTTTATTTCACTGATCTGATCTGTTGAAGCTTTATGATGCAAGTGGCTTAGACATGTTGTGGGGTACTGTTCGATTCGTTTGCTCTTATTACTTGACCTATTGTGGCATTGAAGGGGGAAAGAAGCTTATTGGTTTTCTATATAGAGTCTCGGCTTCTTGCTGAATAACTAAGACTTGGGGCCTTGTTGGTGCAGTCACGACCACAAACCAAGCACAGGCAGCTCTGGATTTGCTGAGGGACAACAAGAACAAGTTTGATCTTGTTATTAGTGATGTTGACATGCCTGACATGGATGGCTTCAAGCTGCTTGAACACGTCGGCCTTGAAATGGACTTACCAGTCATAAGTACGACCCTTTGTCTTAATCGATCTTTCATGTTTACCTGAGATGACCTTTTCCATTGGGGTTCTGTTAGTCTTTGTATGGTTCATAATGATAAATTGTTTATGTAACTCTGCAGTGTTATCCGGACATAGTGATCCAAAGTATGTGATGAAGGGAATTACACATGGGGCCTGTGACTATCTGCTGAAACCTGTCCGCATCGAGGAACTCAAGAACATATGGCAGCATGTGGTCAGAAGACGCAAGTTCGACAAGAAGAATCATGGCAATAACGCAGACGGTAGAGATGGATCTGGAAATGGTAGTGGCAATGAATGTGCAGGAAATTCTGATCAGAGCAACGTGAAAATGAGCAGAAAACGTAAAGATCAGTACGAGGACGATGAAGATGACAGAGATGAAAACGGGCATGAAAACGAGGATCCAACTGCCCAAAAGAAGCCTCGTGTTGTTTGGACTGTTGAATTGCACAGGAAGTTTGTGGCCGCTGTTAACCAACTTGGAATTGACAGTAAGTTCTAATTTTTGAGCTGATTCCTCTTTCCTTTGCTGTGAACATATACAAACATCTATCTCTATCCTGAGTTTATGTAGAATTCTCGTATAGCTTAAGTTAATTTACTGCTCTCTGTTGATGCAGAGGCTGTACCGAAAAAGATTCTGGACCTGATGAATGTCGAGAAGCTCACAAGAGAGAACGTGGCAAGCCATCTTCAGGTGGAAAGATCTGCCTTTTCCCAATGGAAAAGCTTTAGCTTCATTGGCTATTCCTTGTTTAACCTTGTGCCCAACACTTTTCCTTGTGTTGTCTGCAGAAATACCGCCTTTACCTGAAGAGGATCAGTTGTGTAGCAAATCAACAGGCTAATATGGCAGCTGTGTTAGGAAGCACTGACCCACATTTCTTGCAAATGAGTTCTCTCAATGGACTTGGCGGCTTCCACCGCACAATGGCTGCTGGTTCGGGTCAATTCCAAGGCGGGGCTGCGATGAGACCTTTTCCCCCGAATGGTATTCTTGGTCGGTTCAATTCACCAGCAGGGCTCGGTGTTCGGAACCTTTCTTCTTCCGGAATGTTCCTTCAGACTCCAACTGATATGGGGAAGTTTCAACAGGTCTCATCACTTCCTGTTAGCCCTTCTAATGGTGGAAACATACTTCAGGGATTGCCAATGTCCTTAGAGCTTGATCACCTTCAGACCAACAACAGCAGCAACAACAACAACAACAACAACAACAACAACAACAACAACAACAACAACAACAACAACAACAACAACAACAACAGCAACATTAACAACAAGGGCATGTCAGGAAATCTCGGGGCTTTTCCTATCTTCCCTACA